TTGTTACCTGGCTAGCAGGGAAAAGGGGTCGAGGCCGGTCCTGACCTGTTACAATGAAGACTGACTTGCTATGTGGGATTACACCAGAAGCTTGCAGTGGAGTAATGGTAAGGAAATCAAGCAACCTTAAATATCTCGGCTGTATAGGAGCATATTCTGTTGCAGAAGACCTTCCTATGAAGATCATGGAATCAAATACAGGACATTGAACTAATACTTGGACTTTGATATGAATTTCTTTAACAATTTTCTCTGCAGTGCAAGTTATTAAACTAAAGCTACTCTATTTTCCAAATGTGTTCCAACAGAAATCCTTCATAACTTCTAGCATGGTATCTTAATAAAGAATAAAGTTCTTCTCTTTAAAAAATCTGCTCTAAGTAGATTTTTCCCCTGTTTTTTTAAATTAAGGATCCCAGCAGTGGTTTTCTGAAATATTCTCTTGAATTTGTGCATTTAAATTTTATTGCAGTGGTATAGATGAATGCCATTGTTGGTATCCTTAAATTTTATTTCTGCTCACCAAGGTTAATCATGATTGTCTATATCTTTTTTATAGTAATCACTTTTGAATTGTGTTCAGATATGCAGTTTCAGGTGTAATCATCAGAGCTGGTTAGTCAGGCATTCCAGATAGTGGTTCTTTTCAGAACCTTTTTTAAAGGGTTGGTTAACTACCTCAGTAGCAGAGGATTGAACTATACCCTGTCTGTACTGTACATAGAAAATCTTTGTAGATAAAAGCAAGGCTTGTTAAATGATATGAGGGTAAGATTTTAATATACCAAATGTAACATTCTTAGTTGCCTTTAGTTTCAGAGGCTTGTAAGACTTCCTCATGACCATCATAACAGGCCTTGCTTTTGTCGTATTTTGTGGCTGAAAAAGCAGCCTTGCTTCTTCAGATATTGTAGTTATTTGGATGTATAATAGTTTAGCAAGATGTTACTTTTGTAAGACATCAGATGTTCAAAAAAAAGTGCATCCGAACTTGTACTAAATACTGCAGTGTCCCTTTATAAAAAGTCAGACTAAAACTGACAATTGTACAGCAAAGCCTGACATTTGGATATTTTGAAGTTTTTCATAAATCATAGAAATTAGTATATGGCTGTAGTTTAGCTTTTTAGGTAAAAGGTATGTTTCATTAGTGCATTTCTTACTGCTGATCACTGCAAAAATGTGAATCAGCTTTCCATTTCTTATGCAGGTCATGATAACTTGTAGAATAGAGTACAATCATTTGTGCTATGTTTTTAATTTTCTAAAGCACCTTGATGACAGTGAGTGTTCAGTGGTGAAGCATCCTCTATTGAATCACCCTCAAAAAAATTTTTGCCAAGTCCTAAATTGATAGCTTAAAGTCAAAAGTGAAATTATAGTTTAATTAGGACTTGGTATAAAGAAATCCCTTTTCCCCTTCCCCAAAGGGATACTGCAGTTATATCACATACCCAATAGGCACCACGATGAAGATCAGAGCTTATACTTAATTAAGGTTTTATACACACCAGTTCCCCCAGTAAATGCAAATTTAACAAAATTAGACATGTCATATGTTCAAAATGCTCATGGCAAACAATCATTTTGCATTCCTGCAAATAAAATTGTTTTATACTGTAAGCTGGAGGCGAGTGTAACTTATTTTTGTAATAAAGTTTTTATTTTTTTTATGTGTCATTAATATAAATGTGTGTTAGTGTAGAAATATTCTGGTTTAAAAACTTAGAATTGCACACATTTCAGTATGTTTATTTGTACTTACATAATTTTAGAATAGTGGTTGCCAATAGCCTGTATGTTTCACATTAATTGGTTTTTTTATGTTACCTTAATAAACCATTTTAGTATGTTGTATGTCAGTTACTGGGATAGCTGGGACGTAGAGTGTAATTTAAAATTTGTCAATAAGTATTCATTGGAATATATGTAAATGTGCCTTGCCGGTTATTGAAACTTACCTACAAAATGAGTATGGGGTGACAAAAATTAGTTCCTGGTGCTTAATGAAACTTTCTGCCACTGATTTTATATATTACCCCGTGCTTTTTTAAAGTACATCTCTTTCAAATCTTAGTGTAAGTTTGAGGGCTACACAAAACATTTACATTTCATTCTAACATATAATGAGTATAATAGGTTGTGGAAAGTGGGTAAACTAAATGTAGCCTTCAGTAAAATTGAATCTCAGTGTAATCTTTGGTGCTGGTGTTTCCCAGTTCCAAGGAGTTAAATGATCCCATCAAAGAGGTCATTGCCATGCCTATTGGCACTTTACTGTCATACCCTTTTTTAAGGGACACTGTCAAGGTGTTTAAGTTAATTCTCAGAATTATTTGTTGGGATTTTAGGATGGGTTTGTTTGACTTAAGTAAGAACTGCATTGTCAAAGTTGAAAGATGAACATTTTTGTGAGTTCACAAATGTGTTCTTGAAACATTAAAATATGGAGCTGTGGGTTTCCAAGACTATTTGGCATTCTTAGTTTGGGGATTTGGGAGGGAAAACGATGATACAAAGAAATTGTGAAGAATTGGTGGGTAATGTAAACAGTGGTGATGAAATATATACACACTCAAGTGAAATTACTTGACAGTGTTCATTTGAATAACTTTGAATTCAAGCCATTATAATTACTTTTAAAATTAAATATCATTTGCACTGTTCTGATAATGGGTGCAGTTTTTGAGCAATATAATCAGAGCTAAATATGCATGTAGTGATTAGTGATGTGAACAATTAAGTTCTGAGAAGAAATACTAACTGGTATTTTCAAACTTAAATTTCTGTAGTAAAATCAGCAACAAACTCTTATCAATAAGAGATCAAGGAAAACAGGCAATGCATATAAACATACTTTTGAATGTTGTGTGGCCTATAAAGCAATAATGCAATTTATATGGAATGTCATGGGATATGAGAAATGGAAATGCAAAAATAACTAATCCTTTAGTAAAAATGTCAACATGTTAAAAGGGGAATGTTAACTAATGTAGGTTATTGCTATTTGTGATTTGTTTATGGGTTCTTGGCTTTGACAGCTTCAAAGAATGGACAGATGACAAGTTAAAAGAAATTTTGTATATATTGTCAAGGAATGGGTCTTAAATCCAAGAGTCAAGTCCCTTCCTTGGGGTGAAAAATGTATCCTTAAAGCATTCTGATTGTTAAACAAGAAACTTGAGTTACCTAAACAGACGCAAGATTTTGTTTCTGCAGACTACTTGGCAATCAAAAGTGATCATCAATTTAGTTAATCAGTTTTCAGAAAGTTGCTTTGTGAGAAAATTGTGTTACATATATTTTCCCAAACATGCTTTTTGTGGAAGATTTTCAGCCATTGCAGTTGAATCCGATATTAGAAATGAAGTGGGGGTTGAGCACAAAAAGAGCCGTTGCACACTCATGATGATGGTTGTAGCATCATGAGAAATTTATCAATTGCTGCAAGTCTGATTTAACAGAATATAAACATTTTCCTCATGATAAAATAGGAACTTAATAGGAATGGATTGATGGGGTGATCTCGGGTATTGTATGTATTTGGAAAGAGTTAATATCAGGATGAACACATGCTAGATGGGCAAAATTGTCACATGCAGGACAGCTTTTTTGACTGCTAAGCCAAAGTCACTGTTGACTAGAAACATAGCAAAAGATCACCTTGTCATTACGGAGTAAGCCATGTCTCTATTTTAAGGGGAGAAATTAAATGTAGAAGGACTTCATGCATTTAGGAGAGGGAGCTAACCCTAGAGTAAATGATTGCTCAGATTCCTACAACTTCCAGGAATACCCACCATGATCATTTTCTCCCCAGTGATGTATTCCATAAAATTTCTATCTGACCATAGGAATTCATTGGTGGGTATAAAATGAATGAATAAAAAACTTAAGTAACAATACATAAAATGAACAGACTTGTGAGGATGATGTTTTATTAAAGTATAGCATTTACTCAGTGATACCACTCAATAGGGCATGCCACTACTTTTCTTAAGATGCTAATTATAAACCAACGTTCAAAGACATTTTTAACTGTGGGCAAATTAATAGATGGACTTTTTGGTCTGTCACTTTTTTAAAAAGTACTTAAATAAGTTCTAGTAGCACCACAGTCTGCCTTCAGTAATATACATAAAATATTTCTCAGGACCAGAAGCATTCAGTTAGAAGAACCATCTTTTTTACGAATACAAGACAGTATTACAACTAATGCTCTGGTCCAAGATTAGATTTTTAATGATTTTAACAGTAGTCTGATAAACATTTAGAAGTCTGGCATTGAGAAACAAAAGCTTGTACCTGACGAGTACTTTTATTTAAAAGAAATATTAGTTCTCTTAGCTTATTTAAATTGTCTCTTACATTTATTTATCCATAGAGTTTATATTTATTTCATTCCTTTCATCTCACTGAAAACAACTGTCTGCAGGCTCTTTGATTTGGATTAGATGTGTGAAGTACTGTCTTTTGCCAAAAACCTCAACTTACCTGTTCTTTTTAACGTAGTGGGTTTGTGCTTGTTTGGAGATCAGTTCAAAAAACTATCTGTACTATCTGTACTGCCTCTGATGTTAAGATTTTATGTATAGCATAAGGAAGCTAGCTCTGACTATATTTTCCTAAGAATAAAGACCTATTTTTGTAGCATGTCTTAGGATCTCCAGGAGTCCAAGAATTATTGTGGGTGTCCTCCATTTCATCGTTTTTCATTTAACAGCTTTTGAATAGACACTTGGAATCTGTAGAGCTCTTCACCTTTTGATTATCTATACATTCAAAGTGACTAGCCAATGGTAAAAACAGATTCCCCAAGATCCCTAATTCAAGCACATGATGGGGAGATGTAAACATACAGTGTTGGTCTTCACTTATTTTTAATTGGTGAAAATACTCTGTGGTCACACACATGCCAGTGGATGAAGAATTTAATGGTAATTTGGTTCTTTTCTGGGAACATACCCTACCATGCAATGTTCTTGAATTCTCTATCACAATCTTTCTCTGAAGGTTTGAAAATAATTGAGGTTGCAAGTAATTCAGGAGAGTGGAGTGAACAAATGGATGTTTTAATAAAATGTTGAACATTTAGATGACTGCTAATGAGGTTAGGTAGGTGAACTCAGCTTAAAATGGGTTCCGTTAAGCTAAGTTGGCAAATCATCAAAGAATGGGGAACTTGTAAATACATGAAGGGTTTGGCTCATAGCGCTAGAATTTCTTGGCGGGTGGGGCAGGTAGCGGTAATTTTGACCACTTCATCCAGACAAAAATCCTTTCAGAAGGTCACTTAGTGCAGAATTTAGTTTGTATTTAGGATAACCAAAAATGTGTGGTATTTAGTGAAAAGCATTTGTCTTTGCAGAGCAGTCATTGAAGTTTTATACCTGAAAGATTCTGGGTCACCCCTAGGGCATTTTGAAAACCACTTACGTTGCATGTTTCCCTATGCAGAGACCAAACTAGTACTTTGTTGAAATAAGACTGCTGAATAAGACCTTGAGTAAGGGAGGAATCCTCGTAAACCGTTTTGGGAATTTAGTGTCTTCACATGCTTCCTGGAATGTGTTTCTAACACAACCAGTAAACTTAGTAGAATCAAAGTTATTTTAGAATGATTTATTGCAGGCTTAATTTCTGTCTATAAAGTGGTTTAAAACAAGTTCTTATCTGAGGGAAGTTACAAAGGCTGCTATCTAATGTTCGTGAAGTGGCATTTCTTAGGCTTTCAGTTTGTATTCTGAAAAGATTCTTATGAAGTATTGTTTTGGAGACAATTTTAGGATATCTAAGGGAATTGGTATCTTCTGTCAATTATGAACTACAGCCAAGTTTTACTTCAGGGTTAAAGGATAGGGGTTTTGTTGTAGACAAGCTATTACCACAGATTAAAGAATATGGGGCTTGTTCATAATATAAAATCTGTAGAACAGAGGGTAGATTTCAAAATCTGGTCTTCTAAGTGTAGAAACATAAAACATGCCAGAAGAGTTCTAACATTACATCTGATGTGGCTCTTTTAATGCTGTTTTAAGTTCAAATGAAATGAAGGAAATTTGAATAATTATGGCATTTGTGTAGTAATACTGCTTGCTGTTGAATATAGGTGTCCCAGTTTTTTTCCTATGGGAATTAGGAAATGTCGGTACTGCATCATTTGAACACAATCGATTAAACAAGAAGCTCCGTATGCAATGTGGGTCTTGAACTCAGGACCCTGAGATCAAGGGTCAGATGCTCTGCTGACTGAGCCAGCCAGGTGCCCTTATTTTTATGTCATGAGGAAAGAAACCCTTATGACTTCGTTTTTAAGAGTGTATCTTTAATACATTATTATTTATGTTACTTTAATTGTAACATGTCATGAAAAATTAGAAAAGCATATATACAAATTGTCTTGGTATATTCATTATTTGGAATGAGTGGTGGAAAACCAAAAGTAATGAGCAATATGTCAAAGGCCATCTATAAGAATTGGTAGAATACACTTTCTAATTCTCTGCAGCCACATGCAACTATACACAGTTTTGGTTGGCAAAATTTAATACCTTGTTTGCTTTTTTCTTGAAGTAGTAAAAATCCACATGAATTGCACACATTGAATTCTTAAGAATCCTTCAACATTAAGGACAGGTACATTTTCTTTTATGAACCCTGCTTCAGATTCATTCATAAGTAGAATTAAAATATGAAAAAGTTCTAAAATTGTATCCTAAGAACTTTTAGTTGCTCTCTTGGTTTTCTGAAGATCATTTAGCAGTTAGGACAGCATCAGCCATAGTTAGGACCCCAGCAGCAGATACCGTAGTTACTTCAGTTTCTTTAGTTTGTCTTTGCCTGGTGTCTCTTTTTATCAGTGTTTAAGTTAACTAGTTTTTCAGTTTCTTCTCTATGGTTTCTTTTGCCTCTTAGAATGGAAGCTCCTTCAGGGCAGGGAAATCTGAACTAATGGTATTAGGCATTGAAAAATATTCAAATATTTCTCAGTTTGGTGGGAAGTTAGTGTATTTGCTGAATTAGGCTTAATTGTGGCTCGGTAACTTGAAAAAGGAATAAAAATTTTAAACAACTAAACACAATGTAGAAAGCGTTTTAAAATGAGCATGTAGTGCTAGGGACCCCTGGGTGGCTTGGCTCAGGTCCTGGGATCGAGTCCTTCCCTCCCTCTGCCTGCTGCTCTCTCCCTGCTTGTGCAGGGGCTCTCTCTGACAAATTTTTTTAAAAATGAGCATGTAATGCTAATGTTTTAAGTAAATTAAGTTCATGAGGGTTTACATTTAAATTGGACATCTGACGTTTTTAAAAAATCAAAATTGGAAGTTAAGAGTAGCAGTTGGCCTTGTGATATGTATAAAAAGCGCTTTTGGGGGGGCGCCTGGATGGCTCAGTTAGGCATCTGCATTTGGCTCAGGTCATGATCCCAGGGTCCTGGGATTGAGTCCCTCATCGGGCTCCCTGCTCAGTGGGGAGCTCCCTCTCCCTCTGCCGGCTGCTTCCCCCTGCTTGTGCTCTCTGTCAAATAAAATCTTAAAAAAAAAAAAAAAAAAAAAAACTTTAAAAAAATACTGTAATTATTACAACCCAACTCAGCAATTTTCCTTTATGCTGATGTTCAGCTTAATTCTAAGTTAATGAAACAGCATCCAACTACAACCCTCTTTATAAGAAAGGGGTACTTCACTATTGAATTCTTGTTTTGCTGATGAAGTGTGATTTTGTTTTTTTTAAATTTTATCTTGAGAGAGTGAGCATGTGTGTGTGTGGGGGGAATGATGGGAGAGGGAGAAGTACATTCCCCACTGAGCAGGGAGCCTGACGCGGGGCTCGATCCCAGGACCCTGAGATCACGACCCGAGCCAAAGGCAACCACTTAACTGAATGAGCCACCCAGGCGTCCCTGGTTTTAAATCTGTAAAATTTGTGTAAGCTTTTTTTGCAGAGAGGAAAGTGATGATGCCTGAGAAAAGCATGAAGGCTAGGTAACTATAAAGTTATGGTTTAAGTTTCAAATTCTTAAAAAAGGTATTTCTAATTCTTAACTGTATTCTAAAATGAATTTGAGCCATGGTTCTATCTGTATGGATAGTTGTATTTTACCTTTCATTTGGCAGGTTGTTAAATCACTTGAAAAGAGAGGCTCTGAATTTAAGGTATCTCACTATGATGTATCTGTAACTTCTAGTTTGAGTCGTGGGGAAAGGTGTTATTTAACATGTTGTATGCTTAGTTGATATTTTAGCTTGATAACATAAGATAAATACTTGGAGAACAGGAGATAGTATGTGAAATAGCAAATAGCACAGAAAGTCAGCGTTTCTGCTCACATTCTATCCTATTAACAGAGATGACTCCTTCCTTTGGTTCTTAACAGTGGTTACTGTTTACATCTATCTTGATTACTAAATTTAGGCACTATTTATCCCTTGTGAAGAGTTTAGCTTACACTAGTTCTCTTTTTGCTGAAGTATTTTAAATTCAGTCGATTACCTTTATTTCTCAAAACTACACTTAAGCCTCTGCTTCTACCAATCTTAGTATCTGTTTGCTCCTCACTATTTAAGGAAGCAGCACATGCAGTATTTTCTTTCTTTGCCTTCATCTCCCAATTCCCATTATCTTGTCTGTTGTCAGGTTTATGACACTTTATAACTGATGATCTTATTTTTCCTCTAGACTGAAGATAGATAAAATGTAGCATTTATAATGGGTAATTTATTTAGATTCACAGGTAATCCTATTTTGACAAAACCTGAGTCCTTTGGAAAGCAAAATTTCAGGTAGAGATAAGGTCCTTCATTTGTTTAGGTTCATGCCATTGCTAAAACATGAACCAGGACTTAATTAAAAAAATTTTTAAAGATTTTATTTATTTGGCAGAGAGAGCACAAACGGGCAGCGGCAGGCAGAGGGAGAAGCAGGCTCCCCGCTGAGTGAGGAGCCCGATGCGGGACTCATCCCAGGACCCTGGGATCACGACCTGAGCCGAAGGCAGCTGCTTAACTGAGCCACCCAGGCATCCCATGACTTTAATTTTTTTCTTGAGTTTCTAATTATCTTTCTTTTTGCTAAGTTCTTTTGGTTATTTAATCGTATTTAATGCTCTCTATACTCCTGTCTATGAACTATCATACTAGGATTCCTTTTTCCATTCCATTGCTGGGTTCCACTGTTCATAGGTTCCATAGCTACCTCTTAGATTCCCTTTTGTTCTTGCTGCAATATGTTCCCTGGTAATATTGTCAGAAAAGGTACATGAACTGTAAATAGTCTTGCGTACTGGAAAATGTTTCACCCTCACTGTTGATTGACAGTTTGGACATAGGATTCTAGCTGCAATATCCTTTTCCATCAGAACTTTGGAGGTGTCACTCCACTGTTTAGTCTTATAAGTTGATTGAATGCAGTTCTTTGTAGGTAATCTTTTTTTCTTACGCATTCAGATTTTTTTTTTGTTACTTGGTTTTCTAAAGTTTCATGGGACTGCATAGGTTTTCGTTTATTTTGTTTTTTAACTTGAAGTCTTAAGGGTTTCTTAGTTGCTGAGAATTTTACTTTCCAGTTTTTTCAGTTTTTCTACTTGCTTTTTGGAGCTTGGATTGAAAGAATTGGACTGGGTTGATGGTCTTATGTTTAAAAATTTCTTCATTTGGGGCGCCTGGGTG